AGTGAGTGAGTGAGTGAGTGAGTGAGTGAGTGAGTGAGTGAGTGAGTGAGTGAGTGAGTGAGTGAGTGAGTGAGTGAGTGAGTGAGTGAGTGAGTGAGTGAGTGAGTGAGTGAGTGAGTGAGTGAGTGAGTGAGTGAGTGAGTGAGTGAGTGAGTGAGTGAGTGAGTGAGTGAGTGAGTGAGTGAGTGAGTGAGTGAGTGAGTGAGTGAGTGAGTGAGTGAGTGAGTGAGTGAGTGAGTGAGTGAGTGAGTGAGTGAGTGAGTGAGTGAGTGAGTGAGTGAGTGAGTGAGTGAGTGAGTGAGTGAGTGAGTGAGTGAGTGAGTGAGTGAGTGAGTGAGTGAGTGAGTGAGTGAGTGAGTGAGTGAGTGAGTGAGTGAGTGAGTGAGTGAGTGAGTGAGTGAGTGAGTGAGTGAGTGAGTGAGTGAGTGAGTGAGTGAGTGAGTGAGTGAGTGAGTGAGTGAGTGAGTGAGTGAGTGAGTGAGTGAGTGAGTGAGTGAGTGAGTGAGTGAGTGAGTGAGTGAGTGAGTGAGTGAGTGAGTGAGTGAGTGAGTGAGTGAGTGAGTGAGTGAGTGAGTGAGTGAGTGAGTGAGTGAGTGAGTGAGTGAGTGAGTGAGTGAGTGAGTGAGTGAGTGAGTGAGTGAGTGAGTGAGTGAGTGAGTGAGTGAGTGAGTGAGTGAGTGAGTGAGTGAGTGAGTGAGTGAGTGAGTGAGTGAGTGAGTGAGTGAGTGAGTGAGTGAGTGAGTGAGTGAGTGAGTGAGTGAGTGAGTGAGTGAGTGAGTGAGTGAGTGAGTGAGTGAGTGAGTGAGTGAGTGAGTGAGTGAGTGAGTGAGTGAGTGAGTGAGTGAGTGAGTGAGTGAGTGAGTGAGTGAGTGAGTGAGTGAGTGAGTGAGTGAGTGAGTGAGTGAGTGAGTGAGTGAGTGAGTGAGTGAGTGAGTGAGTGAGTGAGTGAGTGAGTGAGTGAGTGAGTGAGTGAGTGAGTGAGTGAGTGAGTGAGTGAGTGAGTGAGTGAGTGAGTGAGTGAGTGAGTGAGTGAGTGAGTGAGTGAGTGAGTGAGTGAGTGAGTGAGTGAGTGAGTGAGTGAGTGAGTGAGTGAGTGAGTGAGTGAGTGAGTGAGTGAGTGAGTGAGTGAGTGAGTGAGTGAGTGAGTGAGTGAGTGAGTGAGTGAGTGAGTGAGTGAGTGAGTGAGTGAGTGAGTGAGTGAGTGAGTGAGTGAGTGAGTGAGTGAGTGAGTGAGTGAGTGAGTGAGTGAGTGAGTGAGTGAGTGAGTGAGTGAGTGAGTGAGTGAGTGAGTGAGTGAGTGAGTGAGTGAGTGAGTGAGTGAGTGAGTGAGTGAGTGAGTGAGTGAGTGAGTGAGTGAGTGAGTGAGTGAGTGAGTGAGTGAGTGAGTGAGTGAGTGAGTGAGTGAGTGAGTGAGTGAGTGAGACTGCAAGGACCATCCGTCTCCTCTGTTTTAATTAGACATTCGGATTCCCGGAGTTCGTGCCAGTTCTAAACTGGTTGTTCGGCGCCAATCGAAGTACTATATCTTGCGAAATAGCACGCAGCTGAAGCGCTCCACAAGCAGTCCTCACTACTAGTCCACAAGCGCCGCCCCGAAAGGAAGCGAAAGCAGCCACGAGCAATGTCCACCTGTTTCACACAACAGCCCGACTGACCCAACCTTTAGAGCCAATTCTTTTCCCGAAGTTACGAATCTAATTTGCCGACTTCCCTTACCTACATTATTCTATCGACTAGAGGCTGTTCACCTTGGAGACCTGCTGCGGATATGGGTACGATCCTGCTCAGGAATAGTTCACCATCTTTCGGGTCTCACCGCGTACGCTCTTCCGCCACCCTACTGTAAACAGTTAGAATGGGGCCATGCTGCACTTTTTTACAAGATCGCACATCAGACTCTAAAGAGCCATTTACTTTCATTTGGCCTTTAGGTTTCTAACACCCAAAAACTTGCGCACACGATAAACTCCTTGGTCCGTGTTTCAAGACGGGTCGGATAGATGACCGGCCTTTACATGGGGAGCGAGTACGAGAGCATTAACTGGACCGAACTAATTGAAAAGCACGTGTCGCATGCGACCGTAACTTACACTCAGATCGAACCAATAAATGCCCGTAAGCCATACTCAAATGTCCAAGACAAAAAATGCTAACACCGTTTGGGTACCAGCAAGCTGGCCTCAAAACGACGGACACAAATCTGCCTCAAACATCCCCAAGCACCAAACAAGTAAATGCATCACAGAAAATTATGCTGCTTCTTTCTGTTCCAATCTGGAGCTCAGATATCACAACATAAGAATAATGTAAATGAATACTTGAAAGATACGCCGACTCTATCTGTTTCCACCTCACCGGTTTCACGTCCTCTTTAACTCTCTCTTCAAAGTGCTTTGCAACTTTCCTTCACAGTACTTGTTTGCTATCGGTCTCGTGGCAATATTAAGTCTTAGATGAAGTTTACCACCGACTTTGGGCTGCGATCCCAAACAACCCGACTCTAAAGCACGCAGATATCGATCAATTATCTCAATGTACAGGACTTGCACCTTCTGTGGAACCCCTGTCAAGGGGACTTGTTTGAGACACTTGATCAAAAATTACGGCTTATACGCTACACCTCATAATGCCTGAGACAAAATGATTTAGCGATGGACATTTCCCTGTTCACTCGCCGTTACTGGGGGAATCCTGTTTAGTTTCTTTTCCTCCGCTTACTGATATGCTTAAGTTCAGCGGGTGCTCTCGACTGAGTTCAGGTCAAAATTGTTTGGTTCTTGTAGTTATATTCATACAACTAGGATAAACAACAATCCTCTTAAAATATAAAGCATCAATAGCATATATAAATTAAAGCTTTCGCTTTAAAAGAAAATGACCCTGAACCAGACGTAGCAAAAGGTTTGACCCCAATGCGGCAATATGCGTTCAAAACTTTTGTGCTCAAGGTTTCTGCAGTTCGCACAAATTATCGCAGTTTGCTGCGTTCTTCATCGATCCACGAGCCGAGTGATCCACCGATAAGGCTAGAATTTTAGTTTTTTTTTTAAAAATATAGAGAAAAAAAGAGTGCTGGCGTCCTCACTTAAGAGGCTCATTAAGTCTTAGTCCTAACATGTCACCACATATACAGCCACGGACGTTCACAACTGTATCAGCAACACCTAGACACCAGCGACAGCCGTTTCACAACAATATATTTATGTTGCGAATTCAAATTTCAACATCACATAAAGTAATGATCCAGCAGCAGGTTCACCTACAGCTACCTTGTTACGACTTTTGCCCGGTTCAAGCCACTGCGATTAAATTGGTTTCCATCAAAGTAATTTAGAAAAATTAAATCAACGGTCCCCAAATTTCTCGAAATGGCTCAGTCCCGGGCAGCGACGGGCGGTGTGTACAAAGGGCAGGGACGTAATCAACGCGAGCTGATGACTCGCACTTACTTGGAATTCCTCGTTCACGGAAAATAATTGCAATTTCCGATCCCAATCACGGCAAATTTTCAATGGTTTACCCGCCCCTTTCGGGGTAGGACAAGCACGTTGATTTTGCCAGTGTAGCGCGCGTGCAGCCCCGGACATCTAAGGGCATCACAGACCTGTTATTGCTCAATTTCTTTCGGCTGAACACCGCAAATCCCTCTAAGAAGCTGTATACACTAAGAGTATGTACCAGCTATTTAGTAGGTTAGAGTCTCGCTCGTTATCGGAATAAACCAGACAAATCACTCCACGAACTAAGAACGGCCATGCACCACCATCCACTGAATCATGAAAAAGCTATCAATCTGTCAATCCTCACAGTGTCCGGGCCGGGTGAGTTTCCCCGTGTTGAGTCAAATTAAGCCGCAGGCTCCACTCCTGGTGGTGCCCTTCCGTCAATTCCTTTAAGTTTCAGCTTTGCAACCATACTTCCCCCGGAACCGGAAGACTTTCGTTTCCGGGAAGCTCCCCACCAAGGCAATATAATTTCCATCGGCGGATCGCTAGTTGGCATCGTTTACGGTCAGAACTAGGGCGGTATCTGATCGCCTTCGAACCTCTGACTTTCGTTCTTGATTAATGAAGACATTCTTGGCAAATGCTTTCGCTGTAGTTTGTCTGGCCACGGTCCAAGAATTTCACCTCTCACGGGGCCATACAAATCTCAGTCCGTAAAACCAATAAAACTGAACCAAAATCGTTTTCTATTATTCCATGCACGATCATTCAAGCGAAAACGCCTGTTTGAAGCACTCTGATTTGTTCAAAGTAAACTTGCAATGCCTGTTAAGAATCCTGTTAAGGAACATAAATTAGCTGCCAAATAGAATAAGGAAGTAAAAACTCACGTGTTGTTATAGCTTCCGTCGAGTTTATGACCAACATCAAGGCATTTGCTGAGTCCTCCTTTTATGTTTCGCACTCCGGTCGTGAACTTGATCGTGCTGTTGTTCGACGCGTTTTTGCTGAGAAGATCCACAGTGCATCCCTTGCTGCCGTTGTTGTACCGAAGCTCGCTGAAATAAAAGAAAATGTTAGTTACGATTAGTCTTTAAAAGAATAAAAAAAGTCCTCACATGTAGTCGTCTTCGATTGAAACATCGCAGGCGTCCGGATACAGCTCCTTGAAGCGACAACTAGTAAAGTTGAAGTACGTATTGTTGGCAACTATGGGTTCGCCGGCGAGCATCACTGTGTCGTTTGTCTTCGTGTGCTTGCCGAATCCGACTTCTTCGCTGTTGTCCTGACCGGGAATTGCATGTGCGGCGATGGTGAGCAGCAGCAGCAGAGAGCACAGCGTTGACGACTTTTTGGCCAAAGGTCCGGTGTCGAGCCCCATTGGATGAAGGCAGCGGATGAGCATGTAGAATTGCATTAGAGCTGGTGGAAAAGAATGAAATGTGGGGGCTTTTATAGTATATTATCAAGAAGGAAGACTGGAATATCAGCAAAAAAACACTATAAAAGCAGCTCGTTTTTCATACTCGTCACCGTCAACAACAACATATCTTCATGCAACTTCAACTTCACAGCAATACAGCCCCGAATGAGGATACGTGGGCGTTCAAACCGATCGGGTCGCCATTTCCGGACAATCCTGTCAAAGTGCTGGGCCAGCAGAACATGTACGTCGCACTGTGGTACAAGAACGGAAAGCCGGTGCACGGCTACGCATGGAACGATGCTGGCGTTGTACAAGCTTCATTTCCGTACGGCAAGGCTGAGCTCACAGGGAAAGTAGATCTTGGCGGCATGATTCAGGTACGTTGAGTCTTTTTATTAGTAATCTAATTCATAACTTGTTTTCTTTCCTTCTCAGGTGCTGCAGTACAACGGAGACCATAACTCGCTCGGCTATTGGTACGAGTGGATCAAGTACAAGGACCGCTTCGAAAAGACCGATGAACGTCAACTGGTTCGGTGCGGCGACTCGATGCCCATTCTATGGGTTAATCGTCCTGGTGGAACACTGCTCGGCACCTTGAACATGAAGACGGAAGAAAACCGCTCTCGGAGATGATGATCATCGTTCGGTAAGTTTATGAGTTTAGATTTTTGTGAGAATGTATCCCTATTTTTAGAAATCTAAAGGGGTCTGCCCTTGTGATACGTGTCTAACGGAACAGTTGACAGCACACTATGGCAATGAGGGCAACGTAGAAGACGAGACCGAGCAGGGGCCAGCAGCAGAAGAAGGAGCACCAGGGAGTATAGGACAAGCGGAAACCGGAACAGGAGCGACTACAGCAAACAGCACAGCGGAGGACGGAACAGGAGCCACTTCAGCAAACGGCACAGTGGAGGACATATACGCGTCCCTAGATTCACTTAATCTCTGATTAGTGAATCTAGGCAGGTAAGAGGAGAGGCTTCACAAGATTCACTAACCTAAAAAATGGTTAGTGAGTCTAATGGAGCGTAAAACCGATGGAGGACTAGTAATGGGGGATCCTCCCTGAAGGGGGGATACCCCATGGGACTCCAAAATTAAGATTGGGTGTGAGTGAGTGAGTGAGTGAGTGAGTGAGTGAGTGAAAATTAATCGTCCTGGTGGAACACTGCTCGGCACCTTGAACATGAAGACGGAAGAAGCCTACTTTTCACAAGCTGGAAAGGCGGAATGCGTCCTTGGAAAACCGCTCTCGGAGATGATGATCATCGTTCGGTAAGTTTATGAGTTTAGATTTTTGTGAGAATGTATCTTTCTGTCCCAATCTGGAGCTCAGATATCACAACATAAGAATAATGTAAATGAATACTTGAAAGATACGCCGACTCTATCTGTTTCCACCTCACCGGTTTCACGTCCTCTTTAACTCTCTCTTCAAAGTGCTTTGCAACTTTCCTTCACAGTATTTGTTTGCTATCGGTCTCGTGGCAATATTAAGTCTTAGATGAAGTTTACCACCGACTTTGGGCTGCGATCCCAAACAACCCGACTCTAAAGCACGCAGATATCGATCAATTATCTCAATGTACAGGACTTGCACCTTCTGTGGAACCCCTGTCAAGGGGACTTGTTTGAGACACTTGATCAAAAATTACGGCTTATACGCTACACCTCATAATGCCTGAGACAAAATGATTTAGCGATGGACATTTCCCTGTTCACTCGCCGTTACTGGGGGAATCCTGTTTAGTTTCTTTTCCTCCGCTTACTGATATGCTTAAGTTCAGCGGGTGCTCTCGACTGAGTTCAGGTCAAAATTGTTTGGTTCTTGTAGTTATATTCATACAACTAGGATAAACAACAATCCTCTTAAAATATAAAGCATCAATAGCATATATAAATTAAAGCTTTCGCTTTAAAAGAAAATGACCCTGAACCAGACGTAGCAAAAGGTTTGACCCCAATGCGGCAATATGCGTTCAAAACTTTTGTGCTCAAGGTTTCTGCAGTTCGCACAAATTATCGCAGTTTGCTGCGTTCTTCATCGATCCACGAGCCGAGTGATCCACCGATAAGGCTAGAATTTTAGTTTTTTTTTAAAAATATAGAGAAAAAAAGAGTGCTGGCGTCCTCACTTAAGAGGCTCATTAAGTCTTAGTCCTAACATGTCACCACATATACAGCCACGGACGTTCACAACTGTATCAGCAACACCTAGACACCAGCGACAGCCGTTTCACAACAATATATTTATGTTGCGAATTCAAATTTCAACATCACATAAAGTAATGATCCAGCAGCAGGTTCACCTACAGCTACCTTGTTACGACTTTTGCCCGGTTCAAGCCACTGCGATTAAATTGGTTTCCATCAAAGTAATTTAGAAAAATTAAATCAACGGTCCCCAAATTTCTCGAAATGGCTCAGTCCCGGGCAGCGACGGGCGGTGTGTACAAAGGGCAGGGACGTAATCAACGCGAGCTGATGACTCGCACTTACTTGGAATTCCTCGTTCACGGAAAATAATTGCAATTTCCGATCCCAATCACGGCAAATTTTCAATGGTTTACCCGCCCCTTTCGGGGTAGGACAAGCACGTTGATTTTGCCAGTGTAGCGCGCGTGCAGCCCCGGACATCTAAGGGCATCACAGACCTGTTATTGCTCAATTTCTTTCGGCTGAACACCGCAAATCCCTCTAAGAAGCTGTATACACTAAGAGTATGTACCAGCTATTTAGTAGGTTAGAGTCTCGCTCGTTATCGGAATAAACCAGACAAATCACTCCACGAACTAAGAACGGCCATGCACCACCATCCACTGAATCATGAAAAAGCTATCAATCTGTCAATCCTCACAGTGTCCGGGCCGGGTGAGTTTCCCCGTGTTGAGTCAAATTAAGCCGCAGGCTCCACTCCTGGTGGTGCCCTTCCGTCAATTCCTTTAAGTTTCAGCTTTGCAACCATACTTCCCCCGGAACCGGAAGACTTTCGTTTCCGGGAAGCTCCCCACCAAGGCAATATAATTTCCATCGGCGGATCGCTAGTTGGCATCGTTTACGGTCAGAACTAGGGCGGTATCTGATCGCCTTCGAACCTCTGACTTTCGTTCTTGATTAATGAAGACATTCTTGGCAAATGCTTTCGCTGTAGTTTGTCTGGCCACGGTCCAAGAATTTCACCTCTCACGGGGCCATACAAATCTCAGTCCGTAAAACAATAAAACTGAACCAAAATCGTTTTCTATTATTCCATGCACGATCATTCAAGCGAAAACGCCTGTTTGAAGCACTCTGATTTGTTCAAAGTAAACTTGCAATGCCTGTTAAGAATCCTGTTAAGGAACATAAATTAGCTGCCAAATAGAATAAGGAAGTAAAAACTCACGTGTTGTTATAGCTTCCGTCGAGTTTATGACCAACATCAAGGCATTTGCTGAGTCCTCCTTTTATGTTTCGCACTCCGGTCGTGAACTTGATCGTGCTGTTGTTCGACGCGTTTTTGCTGAGAAGATCCACAGTGCATCCCTTGCTGCCGTTGTTGTACCGAAGCTCGCTGAAATAAAAGAAAATGTTAGTTACGATTAGTCTTTAAAAGAATAAAAAAAGTCCTCACATGTAGTCGTCTTCGATTGAAACATCGCAGGCGTCCGGATACAGCTCCTTGAAGCGACAACTAGTAAAGTTGAAGTACGTATTGTTGGCAACTATGGGTTCGCCGGCGAGCATCACTGTGTCGTTTGTCTTCGTGTGCTTGCCGAATCCGACTTCTTCGCTGTTGTCCTGACCGGGAATTGCATGTGCGGCGATGGTGAGCAGCAGCAGCAGAGAGCACAGCGTTGACGACTTTTTGGCCAAAGGTCCGGTGTCGAGCCCCATTGGATGAAGGCAGCGGATGAGCATGTAGAATTGCATTAGAGCTGGTGGAAAAGAATGAAATGTGGGGGCTTTTATAGTATATTATCAAGAAGGAAGACTGGAATATCAGCAAAAAAACACTATAAAAGCAGCTCGTTTTTCATACTCGTCACCGTCAACAACAACATATCTTCATGCAACTTCAACTTCACAGCAATACAGCCCCGAATGAGGATACGTGGGCGTTCAAACCGATCGGGTCGCCATTTCCGGACAATCCTGTCAAAGTGCTGGGCCAGCAGAACATGTACGTCGCACTGTGGTACAAGAACGGAAAGCCGGTGCACGGCTACGCATGGAACGATGCTGGCGTTGTACAAGCTTCATTTCCGTACGGCAAGGCTGAGCTCACAGGGAAAGTAGATCTTGGCGGCATGATTCAGGTACGTTGAGTCTTTTTATTAGTAATCTAATTCATAACTTGTTTTCTTTCCTTCTCAGGTGCTGCAGTACAACGGAGACCATAACTCGCTCGGCTATTGGTACGAGTGGATCAAGTACAAGGACCGCTTCGAAAAGACCGATGAACGTCAACTGGTTCGGTGCGGCGACTCGATGCCCATTCTATGGGTTAATCGTCCTGGTGGAACACTGCTCGGCACCTTGAACATGAAGACGGAAGAAGCCTACCTTTCACAAGCTGGAAAGGCGGAATGCGTCCTTGGAAAACCGCTCTCGGAGATGATGATCATCGTTCGGTAAGTTTATGAGTTTAGATTTTTGTGAGAATGTATCCCTATTTTTAGAAATCTAAAGGGGTCTCCACCGTGGTGCCCTTGTGATACGTGTTTAACGGAACAGTTGACAGCACACTATGGCAATGAGGGCAACGTAGAAGACGAGACCGAGCAGGGGCCAGCAGCAGAAGAAGGAGCACCAGGGAGTATAGGACAAGCGGAAACCGGAACAGGAGCGACTACAGCAAACAGCACAGCGGAGGACGGAACAGGAGCCACTTCAGCAAACGGCACAGTGGAGGACATATACGCGTCCCTATATTCACTTAATCTCTGATTAGTGAATCTAGGCAGGTAAGAGGAGAGGCTTCACAAGATTCACTAACCTAAAAAATGGTTAGTGAGTCTAATGGAGCGTAAAACCGATGGAGGACTAGTAATGGGGGATCCTCCCTGAAGGGGGGATACCCCATGGGACTCCAAAATTAAGATTGGGTGTGAGTGAGTGAGTGAGTGAGTGACTTGTTTGCTATCGGTCTCGTGGCAATATTAAGTCTTAGATGAAGTTTACCACCGACTTTGGGCTGCGATCCCAAACAACCCGACTCTAAAGCACGCAGATATCGATCAATTATCTCAATGTACAGGACACTTGCACCTTCTGTGGAACCCCTGTCAAGGGGACTTGTTTGAGACACTTGATCAAAAATTACGGCTTATACGCTACACCTCATAATGCCTGAGACAAAATGATTTAGCGATGGACATTTCCCTGTTCACTCGCCGTTACTGGGGGAATCCTGTTTAGTTTCTTTTCCTCCGCTTACTGATATGCTTAAGTTCAGCGGGTGCTCTCGACTGAGTTCAGGTCAAAATTGTTTGGTTCTTGTAGTTATATTCATACAACTAGGATAAACAACAATCCTCTTAAAATATAAAGCATCAATAGCATATATAAATTAAAGCTTTCGCTTTAAAAGAAAATGACCCTGAACCAGACGTAGCAAAAGGTTTGACCCCAATGCGGCAATATGCGTT